TTTTGGGAAAAGGGCAGGATATAATAATAATAATAATAATAATAATAATAATAATAATAATAATAATAATAAGTCTTCTAGGGCATTTCAGGCTTGATCTGTTCCAAGGACCCATTTGTTTGTATTCTTGGCTGCCACGGTATCCTCAGCACTCTTCTCCAGCACCGCATCTCAAATGACGCCTGAGGTCCTGGCCTGCGAGAAAGGCAGCATATAAGTAAGTACCGGTAAGTAAATAAGTAAGTAAATAAAAAGAGTTAACTATTGCTAGATATTAAGATGAACTCGTGAAAATCAGAATTTTGTAACAATGCCTTCCCATCTTATCCGCATGACATCCCTGAGAGATAGGTTAGGCTGAGAAACAGAAACTGAGCCCAGTTCACTCAGTGGCTCAATGTCTGAGGTGGGGATTTGAAGAAGGATCTTCATAGCACTCCCTTGCCACCCAACTAGCCTCCCCCAGCACAGGCCTTCAGAGTCCACTGGGGCAGCTGTGCCTCCGGAGTGTCTGGTTGGGGTCTGGCACGGCTGCCAGCATGGCATAGGGGGGTTTGAGCATTGGACTAAGACTCTGGAGACCCGGATTCTCGATCATGGAAACCCACTGGGTAACCTTGGGCAAGACACACTCTCTCAGCCCACAGGGGAAGACAATAGCAAACCTCCCTCTGAACAAATCTTTTCAAGAAAAGCCCAAGAAAAGCCTTAGGGTCACCATAAGTCGGGAAACAACTTGAAGGCACTGAGTGTCAGTACTGCTTTATTTCTGGGTGTCAGTACTGCTTTGTTTCTGCAGTGTGGCATCAGCTGCCAAATCCAGGCTCAAAATGGAGGCCATTTTGGAACTCCCTCCCACTCTGGGCAGAATCCTGAAATGGAAGATGGTTCAGGGAAAAGGAGTTATGAACATGAGTTAGCAGTGTGAAAAAGCCAATGTGTTTCTAGGCTGTATCAATAGAAGTACAGTTGGCCCTTGGTATCCACGGATTTTTTATCCGTGAATTCAAGCATCCATGATTTTTTTAAAAAAGTATATATTTTCCATTTAATATAAGGGACACCATTTTGCTATGCCACTGTATTTAATTGGATATGAGCATCCATGGATTTTGGTACCGATGGAAGGCCCTGGAACCAAACCCAGCAGGTACCCAAGGGTCCACTGTATATTGTTTAGATCAAGGGAAGTCATAGTGCCACTCTATTCTGCTTTGCTCAAGCCTCACCTGGAATACTGTGTCAGTTCTGGGCACCACAATTCAAAAAGGATGTTGAGAAGGTGGAGTGTGTCCAGAGGAAGGCCATCAAAATGGTGAAGGGTTTGGAAATCATGCCTTATGAGAATAGACTTAGGGAGCTGGGTATGTTCAGCCTGGAGAAGAGAAGGTTAAGAGGTGTTATGATAGCTATGTTTAAGTATTTGAAGGGGTGTCACATTGAGGATGGAGCAAGCTTGTTTTCTGCTGCTCCAGAGAATAGGACCCAGAGCAGTGGATGCAAGCTAAAGGAAAAGAGATTCCATCTAAACATTAGGAAGAATGTTCTGACAGAAAGAGCTGTTTGACAGTGGAACAAATCCCTCGGAGAGTGGTGGAGTCTCCTTCTTTGGAGGTCTTTAAAGAGAGGCTGGATGGCCATCTGTCGGGGATGCTTTGATTGGGAGTTCCTGCATGGCATAATGAGGTTGGACTAGATGACCCCTTGGGGTCTCTTACAACTCTAGGATTCTATGATTCCTTTATTGGAAGTTTTCAAAACAGACGCTGGATGGCCATTTGTCAGGGGTACATAGTAGTGTCTTAGGGGTGTCAGTGTGGTGTAGTGGTTTGAGTATTGAAGTATGACTCTGGAGACCAGGGTTTGATTCCCAGCTCATCCATGGAAACCCAGTGGGAGGGTGACTGTAAGTAAGTCACAATCTATCAGTCTCAGAGGATGGCAATGGCACCACCACCCTGAGGAAACCTGCCAAGAAAATCCTATGATAAGTTTCCCTTAGGGTTGCCATAAGTTGCCATAAAGGTCAGGGGTACTTAGTGTCTTCCTGTGTGGCAAAAGGCGGTTGGACTGGATGACCCTTGGCGGTCTCTTCCAACTTTATGATTCCTTTGCTGGAGGTTTTGAAATGGACATACTAAAACCAATGACAGTACTTGCCTATAGGGAAACCATACTTGTCCATAGAGAATCATAGGGGAATACTTGCCCATAGGGAAATATAGGGGAATACTTGCCCATAGGGAATCATGAGGGGAATATTTGTCCATAGGGAAAGTTAGGAGAATATTTGTCCATAGAGAATCATTGGTGAATACTTGCCCATAGGGAAACACAGGAGAATACTTGTCCATAGGGAATCATGGAGAATACTTGCTCATAAAGAATCATTGAATACTTGCCCATAGGGAAACACAGGAGAATACTTATCCATAGAGAATCATAGGAGAATACTTGCCCATAGGGAAATATAGGGGAATACTTGTCCATAGGGAAACTCAGAATATTTGTCCAAAGGGAATCATGGGGGGAATATTCGTCCATAGGGAGAGTTAGGAGAATATTTGTCCATAGAGAATCATTGGAGAATACTTGCCCAGAGAATCATAGGGGAATACTTGCCCATAGGGAAACACCTGAGAATACTTGTCCATAGGGAATCATGAGGGGAATATTTGCCCATAGAGAATCATTGGAGAATACTTGCCCATAGGGAATCATGGGGGATACTTACCCATAGGGAAACATAGTAGGGAATACTTGTCCATAGGGAAACATAGGGGGGTTGCAGACTGCCAGAAATAGTGCAAATTGAGACCACTTTAACTGCCCTGGCTCAGTGCTAAGGAATCATGGGAACTGTATTTTATTGTGGCACCAGAGCTCTCTGACAGAGAAGGCTCAATGTCTCAGGAAAAAAAAAATTCCCGTGATTCCCTAGCACTAACCCTAACCCTACAAGTGGACTCAATTTGCACTATTTCTGGCAGTCTGCAACCCCCCATAGAGAAATACTTGCCCACAGAGAATCATAAGAGAAAACTTGTCCATTAGGACTTATTGGAGAATACTTTTCCATAGGAAACATTTAATACTTGCCCAATGTTGTCCTATGGGCGGCAAGTACATGCATGCTAAAAGTATTCCCCCATGATTCCCTATGGGCAAGTATGGTTTCTTTATGGGCAAGCACTGTCATTTATTTTGGTACGTCCCGTTTTCTTCAAAACAGAGGCTGGATGGCCATTGGTCAGGAGCACTTAGTGGTGGAAAAGGGAGGGTTGGACTGGATGACCTTTGGGGGTCCCTAGTTCCAGCTCTTCTAGGATGCCCTCCTCTATTCCCGCTCTGGCTGTCTCCGCCTTTCCGTCCTTCGTCCGCTAGAGGGCGCCTGCGTCTGCGTCTGCCTTCCTTTGTCTGAGGGCCGCTCGGAGGAGTGAGTTTCCTGGGTCAGAGGTGGCAGAGAGCCTCCCTCGCCTCCTCCTCCTCCTCCATTGCCTCTCCATTGCCTTTTCCTTCTTCCATTGTGGAGGCGAAGCCGGCGCCCGAACTGCCTCTGCCCTCCATGAAGCAAAAGCAGCAGCAGCAGCAGCAGCAGCGGCGGAGGCTCCTCTAAG